GTCGTGAGTTTGTGATCGGACGGTTAAGATCAGATCTATAGATGTTTGACCGTTGTGATCCTGATCAGGCTATACAGCGACGATACAAGGAGCAAGCACCGTTGAACCGAGACGAGGGAGTGACATGCATCATCTTGATCCGTTCGCCACGTGTCTGTGTTCTGTTTTTGGCTAATAATATTCGCAAATCTTTTTTTTGGTTTGTTTTTTTATGTTGTTAGAGACCGTTTGATCTCCACCATCTGTGTTGGTTTTAACGGTGGTCATGCGTCCTCTTGTCTCTTGTAATGCTTTTACTGTTCGATACTTGATATTTTATAACGATAGCTTCCAATGATCATTTTTAACTATGYTTAGCATAATGGAAATTAACTGAACTATGGTTGAGAAGTGGGGTCTGATATCATTATACAATACTAACATAACCATGGTTTTGAATTGTAGTTAGATCATAATATATTTGTGTCAAGTTCAACAAGCAATAACTGTAGTAATTTGATGAAAGTTTTATACGTGTCTATTGATGTAATGTGCATTACTTATTAAAAATGCGTAGAGACAAATTTGAAAGAACAATTAATTATAAAACTTGTGATTTTTTGGTTCCCAATTAAGCTAATACTATAATATTAATAAATCTTGCTGGCAAGGATCTATCTAGGAGATATCATTAAAACCTCTACTATCCCGTTCCACACTATAACTATTCGGAAATCTAACATTAATATTGTAGGTGTTCCAGCCAGCAAGAACTGAATAAGGCAGTATTTCGACGTAGAATCTATTAGTATTCTTCTAGTATGAGTTTAATTTTAGAATAAATCATGGCATCTTCGTTTAGGAAACTTTTTAAACCAAAACATGCATCAACTTCTGCATCACAGACAATAATTAATTCAAGACAAATTATGTTAAAAATAACATCGTTTAATAAAAAAATAACAAAAAATTATTTACCTGATATCAATCCAGAAAACTTATATCAAATCGGAACTTTTGATTTTAAAACTGTTTATTCAATAAAAGAACATGAGCAAACACTATCTCTTCAAAATAAATTTGAAAAAATTAAATTATTATCTTCACTTGCTTTAGAAAAAATATAAACAAAAGAAATTCAATTATCTTCATTTTGGACTTACTCAAATAGCAATTAAACTTTTATCAAGAACCGAAATTGATTCTTCAATATGTTATTAAGAGATAAAACCCTATTAAAATTTGAGGATTCGCTTCTTTAAGCGGTCCAATATAATTTATGCAACGGAGTAATTTATTTTAATACGCAATTTATGCAACGGAGTAATACGCAATACTTTAGTATTAACTGTTCACTTACCAAAATTTAATTTTCAAAATGAACGACATGGAAATCTATTACTTTACCGAATTTATTTTAAACAATCAACTTCTGAATTTAATCCAAGATGCTTATTACAAGATGATAAAAGAGAAACAACAATTTTAGCGGTTCATAGACACCCCAACAACTACATATACACCTAAACTATTAAATTGAAATGAAATAACTATTCCAAATCAATGGAAAATTAAAATTACTCACCTTCCTAGAAACTTTGAACAAAAAATATTTTAAGAATATTTGAACAAAGAGATGAGAAAATATTATTACAATTCGGATCATACAGAGAACCACTTCCACCTAGAATTAGTTCATATCATTCAAGAGCTTTCTTTTATGAATATCATACTAGTCAATCTAGTGCACATTCAGAAACAGAAAGCATAAACCAGAATAGTAGACAAGAAAATTCAATTAAATTTAAAGCACCTATAGCAGAACCTAAACAAAACATGTATCCAACGTTTCCTACACCATCAGACTTTAAATCTATAAATGTCATAAAAATAATAATATGAAATTGATAAACAATATATCAAAGAAGACTTTTACTCAAAAGAAAATCGTAACTGGTATTTCAAAACATTCTCTAGACAACAAACTACTGAATTTAGAGAAAATGGTATAATTGTATGATATTAAAAGAAATAAACATCCCATTTTTCATATGGTTTGAAAGATACTCAATCGTACATAATATCAGATATCCCTTTAAAACAATTAATACTAATTCATCTTTAAGCCAAGTATGTGAACAAGTAGATGATAGCAAAATTAAATCGATTCATCCACCATTAAAAGATTTAAAAATAAATACTTCTAATCGACAAATTCTAGCCACACCTTTCAAAACCGGAGCAAATAAAGATGATAAAGACCCGATAATTTTACACGCTATTAAATCAATATATCAACAAAATAATTACCAAAGTCAATTATTATATACGATTTCTAAACAAGTAGACAACATAGATAATAAACTAAATACTAATGAAAACAACAAATTGGATCAATGTAACCAAAGTATTCAACATCCCTTTTCATCTGTAACCTCACCAATCTTTAAACCAATAAATAGACAAGTCAAATTTTTCTGAAAATGAAATTTTAAAATCAATTGCA